TTTTGTTTCGCTTTTTCCATCTTTTCAATAATTTCTCCGATTTTCAGTTCTTCTATCTGAAAATAGATTTTTTGAAGGAGGAGATTTTCTGGAGATTGAAACATTGTTTTTCTTATTATGGTCCAGTTATCAATGATTTCCTTTAATACTTTACCAGTCGGTTTACGCCCCTTCGGGGCTAAACCTCCTGGCGCCCGTCGCAGTTCTAAAATGTCGTAGTTCTGAAACGTCGCGGTTCTAAAATACCGGTAAACCGGTAATACTGGTAAACCGGTAAACCGGTAATACCGGTAATACCGGTATATACCGGTAATCATTTACCGGTAAGTTACCGGCAAATTTATCTGTAAATTTACCGAAAGCACCGTACCGAAAGCACACACCGCTTCCTCCGCCGAACATAGTCTAAAAGACTGTGGGACATATGAACTCCTTGATTTGGGAAGTTCAACTTCTGGACCAAAATTTCAAAGTGTCGTGGTGCTACAGACTGATTCCAACCCAAAAAGGCAAACCATATTTGTTGCTTCCTTCAATAAAATGTTGACAATTTTTGAAAATCGGTTTCAAGCTATATGCAGATGTATCCCAAAAGTTTCATGGTAGATAAATTTTCGGTCTGGCTGCCTTTTCCTGTGGGAAACTTGCCTCCAGGGGAAATGGATTAACATACAAAGAAGAAAAGAGACACCCACTCCATTTATTATTTTTTTCTAGCGCTCTCTCAATTTTTTTCATTATAATTAAGGTACTGACTACATATTCTTCAAATTTTGCTCACACACGTGGGATTCAAGATTTTGTTCCACCAGAAAGTGACGGAATTGATGGGAGAAGCAGAATGGATGCGCGGAGATCAGAGCCCAGAATCGAAGCAGCTATTTCAAGAAACTTGTCGAGCAGAATCGAAGAATCTGCAGGAAGAAATGTCGTTTAAGATGCTGACGTGATAGATGAGCACCCCATTCGGAATAGGGCTTCATTTCGGTCGGTCGAAAATCGCCGACCGCCGACCGACCACCGACCGAGCCGACCGACAGTCGACCGAGTTGACCGATCGGTCGGCGCGCCAACCGTTCTCGTGCTTTTGCGCGCCAGAGTGTATGCACACGCGTACATCGTATTTCACAACACATACAGGGTGGCTGAAAAGTATTGAGACACTTGTTTTTTGTTGTATTTTCAAAAATGGAGTTTCAACAAAAGAACCAGATTTATTTTTTCAACAAATGATAGTAATAGAAAAGATATCAGAGGAGATATTCGAAGTTTGAGCCTTCGGCCTTGATGCACGCCTTCAAACGAGCTCGAACAGAAGCGACGGTGCGCCGGAGGTAGTCATCGTCAAGATCATCCCATGCTTTGAGCAAAGCGGCCTTCAGTGAATCCACATTTGGGTGCGATCGAGCCATCACCTTTTCCTCCAAATATCCCCAAACGGAAAAGTCGAGTGGATTCAGATCGGGCGAGGAAGCGGGCCACATGTCCTTGCCCCAGTAGCCAGGGAAATGAGCGTCGAGAACAGCTTTCGTGGATTTCGAGCCATGGGACGGGGCCCAATCTTGTTGAAGAATGAAGGGTTGCTGGCCAAAGTGGCTAGTGACCCACGGACGTAAAACATCCATCAACACCAACTTTTGGTACACATCCGAGTTGATTTTCACATTTCTATCAATGAAAACCAATGGGACTTTACCTTCCGACGTCAATCCAGCCCACACCATCACTGACTTTGGAAAAAGTCTCTTGTAGGCCAGACGACGTTTTGGGGGACTTTGCTTCGTCTTTTGACAACAATTGCCGAGCATTCTATCGTTTCGGAAGCGGCTCACCCGTAAAAATTTTTCATCAGTCCAAATGACTTCAGAGAGGCGGCGCACCCTTGAGTGCGTCGAGCAACTTTTTCGCTTTTTCGAGCCGATTCTTCTTGGACTGTTCTGTGAGGTATTGGCCACGAAGGAGCCGATAACTGTTCAGACCCAAGTCCTTTTTCACAATGGATTGAACCGATTGTCTTGAGATTCCGAGCGATGAAGCCATTTGGTTCATGCTGACCGCATCATTTCGTGTGATTCTCTTCTTGATGATGCCACGAGTCCGGCGAGTGTTGACAGTACGAGGTCTTCCGCTTTTCTTAAGCTCCAACACATGTCCTCGATCTTTCAATTGTTGCACAACTCGATAGACAGTTGCTCTCGGAAGAAGAAGTCTTCGAGCGATGTCACCGGTGGAGATGCCGTCGTTGAACAGCTTGGCAATGGTTTGGCGATGAGGAGAAGCTCGCATAACTTCGTGAAGAGATAAAGTGATGGGAAATGGCTCTAATGTCGGCTTATATACGCTCCCTATTTTCGAAATAATACGAAACTTTTCGAAAATACGACTTGGCACGGTGCCAAGAGCCATCATAACAAGTGTCTCAATACTTTTCGCCACCCTGTAATTTTTCAACACAAATTGTGAACATTTAAAGATTAACGATGATATTATTAAAAATAGAATGCATATTCTATACAGGAAAACATAATATTGACATAGAAATGTGTTTTTTTAAAAACGTTTAAATTCCGAGGCCGGCCGAGGCCGGCCTCGCAAATATGACTACGGCAAGCAAGTCGCATATTGTACGACAAGTTGCCTATTTTTTTAAATTTTTTGTTTTTTCTCGCTCTTTTTCAGCAAATCACGCATTTTTTGAGAGTTTTCTCGATTTTTCGATATTTAGAGCATTTAAAAAAGGAGGAAGTCAAGAAATCTTTTATTCCACACTGAGATAACAGGGGAGAGAAAATGACAACCAATTCAAGAAAATTAACAAAAAAAGCTTGTGTTCATGCATCAAAATCTTCAAGTCTCGCCTGTGTCCAATCGATCTTTTTCTTTGAGAATCTCAACTTTTCCAGCATTTTTAAGTCCAGACTCTGACGATTTGGTGTGTACAAGTTTTTTATGATTGAAAAAGATCTTTCTACATCTGCTTCCGAAGCTTGAATCGCATGAACTTTTTGGGCGATTTCGTGCAAAATTGGATAGGAGCTTTTTGCCAGAGGCCAAAATTTCGATGCAGGCATACTTCTGGTGTCTCTCTCGTATTGCTGCTGTTCTTGATGAAGCGAACTGCTTTTTGGGGCGCTTGATCCGCCCAGAGTACGTTGAAGGAAAGTGAGATGACGTGCAGGTGGTTGGCTTTGTGGTGGCGCCTGATATCTCATTTCCTCAAAACTTTTTCCCAAATCGTCCAGAAGCTTCTGAGCATCGTTCACGATATCAATCGGAATCTGAAATTTACACACTAGTTCATGTTACAATGTTCGTCGTTTTCTTTAGTACCTGATGCCGATCGTATCTCAATTGTAACTCATGTAAATCTTTAGACGGAGGATTCAAATAGGTGGCTACAAAATGAATGGTATCGAGATCTGTGCACATTTTTCTCGTTGCTTGTTTCGCGAATTTGACAAGAACCTCTTTCTCTCCAGCTACCGAAAATCGATGAAATTCATCCATTAAGCTAACGACAAACACAGCCACATCTTTCAAACTGTCCGACATCCAGTTTTGAAGCATTCAAAACGATACGGGACGTAGAATTTCCAGATGTACTGTGTTTTTTCTGGTGGCGCCTATAGTTTCATCATAATTAATATAAAAAATGTTTTTGCCTACTGCAAATGGCCACCGTTATCTCCTATAATGCTCGAGCAAGATTCACACTTCAAAAATTTGACGGCTTTTGCGCCGGTCGCATGATGAACAAAAACCACTCGCATGTATCCCTGTTTATCAGTGCATTTTTTCTGAAAAAGAACTAATTATTTCAACAAAAAAAAAATTTCAACTAGCATAAAAACCGCCGAATCCTTCCCGTGATTTGCTGAAAAAGAGCGAGAAAAAACAAAAAATTAAAAAAAAATACGCAACTTGTCGTAAAATATGCGACTTGCTAGATGATCTAGATCTTTCTTTTTTTTATTTAAAGGAAAAAGAAAAACTTGTATAAATAAAAGATACATAATCTTTTTAAAATGAAAATGGACACTTAGCAAGAAGAAACTGGTTTTAATGAACGAAATAGAGATGAGGAATAATATTCTACTCTTTTCATTGCTAATTCTAAAATTCGAAGTATATTTTTGTGTATTAGTCATAGAAAGAGATGAAAAAGACGAGTTTCTTATTGCTAAGTGTTAGTTGTTATAACATGAAATAGATGATAAAAAAACGATTCATTCTGTTGTTCTTTAAATATTCAAAACAAATTTTTGTAAATTATCAGATTCATTTCAGCATTATCAGAATTTGAATTAATACAGAAATTACATTTTTGTTGTTAAAAAGAATTAATGAATTGCGAACAAAGAATAATAATTCAATTGGAATCTAAAGATTTTTTGAGTAGCTCTGCAAGGATTTCTTTGTCCATTTCACTGGGATCCGCTGGAATAACTGAACGAATATCCGCTTTTGACTTGATTTTATCCAGGCATTGTTTCTGAAAAAAGTCAATAAACTGCTCACTTTTAAATTATTCGTCTAAAACTCACTTTCAGTCCCTCCATTCTATAATTTCCAGCCAACTCCAGCTTTCTTTTCAGTCCCTTTTTTGATTTTTCAAGCAAAAATTCCTCGCATTTTTTGACAATTTTAGGAGTGTCGAACATATCAGCCACTGATAAAATTCCTTGGACAGTATCATCTGAAATTGCTCTTTTCAAAATATACGGTAAGTACAGTAACCCACCATCAATTCCATTTTCTAGATGTAGAACTTCAAGATAGTATTGGAAGTCTTGAGGATTGACATCTTTCAATTCGATTTCTGATTTTTCAGATTCTTGAAATCTTCCCAAAAATAAAGTTGCAAAATATGGAGAATGAGAGGAGAGGTACTGAAAAAGTTGAATAGATGAAAATCAAAAACTGAAAAAATGACTCACCAACTTCGAAATATAGAATTTCCGCTTTTTTACTTTCAATGTGACATCGGAGAATTGTTTCATATCCTCTCCGAAACTTCTTAAATCTTTTCTGGGAAATTCATTTGTTTCTTCCGGAAATCCAACCATTTTGTTTATTTTCACATGAACTTCCACTTCCAATTTTCCATCATCCAGATATTCATCTTCCAAAGTTCTCCATTCAATAAAATAGAGGCAACCATAAATGCAGCGTCTCTCAAACACCCTACTCAAAGACCTTGAATGATTTTTTTCCCGGTTTTTCGAGAATATTCTCAGGGTATAATTAGTGTGAATTTCTTGATTTCCTGTCACATTTGTGTGTAAAAAAATTCCGAGGTGTTCGTTCTCTTTTTCAATACTTATTATCCTGCAATTGAATTGACATACAAATATAATTTAAAAAATGAGCAATAAGACCTACCATCCGATACCAAAATGTTCTTCTTGTGGACTATAGAGATATTGATATTGCTTGAATTTCTCAACATCAGTGAATATATGTTTCACAGTGAATTCTTTTTCAGTCATCTGAAAAAAAATGTTTACTGGAAAAGCTGAAAATTGAGAAAAAATATATATGAAAAAGAGCGAAACTGATAATATCAATGTTAAACGTAGAAAGTAGAAAGAGAACTTTGTAACCAAAAAGTGGGGGAAGGGAGTGATAAGAAATTCAGTGATTAGCAATTTTTGTGCACAACTTATTCAAAAAAAGTTCAAAATTAGATACTTTGAGACAGTTTTTGAGAATCACAGGTAAATTTTTAAATCAGAAATCATGCATTTTGAAGTTTCAGTTTTCCGATTTTGATTTATGTAAGAAGAAAGATTGATATTTCAGAAAATAATAACTAAAAGTTTTTAGTGCCCAGTTTTCTGATAATTCTTGAATTGATAAAATGAAAATGAGGTCTTTTGAAATTGAAAAAAAAAAGAAAATTGAAAAGAGAAGAGACAAACAATTTAAGAGTTAGCAAGGAAAACGGGAAATTTCAACACTGATAAGAATAAAATTGATTTGATTTCATGACGTATTTGAACGAAAAGAAGTGAGAATGGATTTTTTAAAATAATTGTTTAAAAAGAGTTCTAGCATACCATATTACCCCAAGTTTTAAACTTTTGGGTGACTTTGGTTTGTAAGTAGCATATGATTGCAGTTTTGTTCATTTTTGAGCTTCATTTCTGATTTAGAAGGTTCCAAGCTTCAATACAAGCCTAAACATGCCTAGATTTGAGGAAACTTGAAAAAAAAATCAAGAATTTCGATATTTTTGTAACTTTTGAAAATTCCTAAATTTCTGAAAAATCTAAAAGTTCATTCCAATTATATTCATCAAATCATCAAAATTATTAAAATTACAAATTTATGGAGAGTGAGGAAATCATTTAAAAAATTGAAATTATAGAAAAAATATTATCGGAAGAAGATGCTCTTATAGCTGTTGATACGATCCTCCTTGTTTTGCAGACTTCAGCTGGGCGGTCAGATTGTTGAAGAATGAAACTGAAAATAAGTGGATTGAACCGATGAATTGAATTTGGCGTTCTTACTTGTATCGTCCAGCTCTTTGCCTGTGGCCCTTAATTTAATTTCATTTTGAGAGAAGTCAAGGCATCCACTCTCGTCACGATGCTTCATCTCAATTGATAATTTTTCATTATTGATTCCATCCTTCTTGACGGCGGTGCAATGGAGAACGTTGCTTCATCTGAAAGTATTCGATGTAGGCGATTTTCATTTCAGATTTTTCAAATAAAACTCACTTGTCACGTCATCTGTTGGAATCGCATTTGGCAGAGAGGAAGAAGATGCCTACAAAAAAGAAGATTTCGTACATTGTCAGTGTGTAAAATATACGAAACATATTTTTCAGTTGTGTTTGACCGGTTTCATGAGTCTGTCGCTTGGCTTTCCAGTTTCCGATCACTTTGAGAATGTAGAACAGTGTAAAACACACCAAGATCCTAGTTTTTCAGCTAATATCCAATTTCTAAAAGACACCTGATTTTTTTACGTTTTCAGTGAAAAACTGAATTTTGCATACAAAATGAACAAATGATTAGACGAAGACGTGCCGCAGACTCCGAAGACAACGACTGAATTGCTTTTTATTTGTTATCAACCGCCATCGAGCTTTGCCTTTGTCTTCTGAAAGGTTCAAAAACTCATTTGCAAACGAAAACTGCGAAAATTCTCACGTTTGTGAATCTGATTTGTTTGTCCTTAAAAAGAAGACTGGCCTGAAAAGAAGTATCTTTAACCGGACAATTTTTTGGAACAATTTTACTACCGGGATAAATACCAGCAATCTCTTCGTGAAGTTGTCGATGGATGAAGTTGCTGAGACGTGGCTCTCTGCAAAAAACAAACGACAGAATTGTCCTCTAGTGTGGATTTTTATTTATTAAGGAGAGAAGCCATCTTGAAAAATAATGATTTGCTCTAAAATTTCGAAATTCAGCTTTTGGTGGCGACTCAACTAACATTTAAAAACTCGAAAACCGGACAGCCGGACACTAGGACCAACAGACGCGTCTAGCGTTATATATATAAGAAAGATTTGAAACAGGCATGTTTGGGCTCATTTTAAACCTCAGAAACTCGGAATTATGAATTTTCACTATCTGCAACGTTTTCGTGAATGCTAGAGCTTCAGAATGAGCTAAAACATGACTAGATCGGCCGCTTTTAGTATTAGGAACCGTCCGAATTAAAACGATAGCCTAGTTTCAAATTTAAGAGTATCTAGGCGCTTTTAGTCTCATTTTGAAGCTTAGGATTTTATATATTGAAACTTCAGATTCAGTTTGGAAGCATCAAAATGAGTAAGGAATTAAATTTAAAAATTTAAGAATGAAAACAAATCAATTCTAAATTTTTTTCGAAATTTCGAATTTTTGAATTTTGAAAAAAAAATACTTGGCTAATTTTAAGCATTTTACGATCAATTTTGATCTTTTTTCTGTTCTGATTAATTCGAGGTGAAATTCAGCAGCTTTTTTTTTGCAAACAATCGGAGAAATGTCTATAAACCTTTTTCAGAAACATCAGAGAGACGGTTGGTCACCATGGTCTACCAGAAATAAAGAAGAAAAAATCATGAGTGAAAAACTTATCCGAAAAGTTATGGAAAATAAAAACAACTTTTCAGAACTGGGATCTTCACAAACCATGCTAAAACCTGCCTGATCAATGTGATAATTTTGTTTTATTTATTTTTAAGAATTTTTGAAAATAAAAATTCATAATTTCTAGAAAATTGTTCCGAAAAAGGAACTTCTAACAATACTAGAGAATTAAAAAAAACGAAAATTCAAAATTAAAGATGTTCAGAATTTCAGAATTTCAAAATTTCTGAAATTCTGAATTACAGAAATAGAAAATTTGGAAAAGTTTCCGAATTCAGGATTTTTCTGGAAAAATATAAATTTAACATTCGGAATAGTTCGAAATTCTAAAAAACTGGAAAAACTTTCAAATTTAAAAGGTTTTTTTTTCAAAAATCCAGAATTTGGTTTTTTAATACATTTTATTGAAAGATTACAAATTTCATGAACAATCAAAATACTTTTGAATCTCTGAATTTCAGAATCTCAGAATTTCAAAATCTCAGAATCTTAGAATCTCAGAATCTCAGAATCTCAGAATTTCAGAATCTCAGAATTTCAGAATCTCAGAATTTCAGAATCTCAGAATTTCAGAATCTCAGAATTTCAGAATCTTAGAATTTCAAAATCTCAGAATCTCAGAATCTCAGAATTTCAGAATCTCAGAATTTCAGAATCTCAGAATCTTAGAATCTCAGAATCTCAGAATCTCAGAATCTCAGAATCTCAGAATTTCAGAATCTCAGAATTTCAAAATCTCAGAATCTTAGAATCTCAGAATCTCAGAATCTCAGAATCTCAGAATCTCAGAATTTCAGAATCTCAGAATTTCAGAATCTAAGTCTCTGAGAACTTTCTTTTTTTCTGTTTAGTTTCCACTTTACAAAGTTTTTGTTCCTCACTAATTACCCATGAGTAGTAATTGTTTTTTACTTTTCCAATTTTTTATCCTTTACTCATAAATTCCAAAATCACAAGACATTTCCTTTCCCTTTTTTGTCGTTTCTGTTTTTAGGTTTTTTTTTTTGAAATAACATAAATTTTATGAAAATTCTGCAAAAATGATCCCATAAAATGTCAGTTGAGCAACCTATAATTATAGTGATAAAACTAGAAAATCAGAATGATATTTTGAAAGAAAATTTGAAGAAAAAAGAGAGACTAATTAAGTCTCAAGAGAGCTAAGAAAAGAAAATCATGGGTTTTCGTTTTTTCGAAAAAAAATTTCGAAGAGTTTTTCCACAATTTTTGAGCCTTAAAATCAGAATTTTTCAGACTTTTTCTTTAAAATTTGACACAGAAAATTTCGCGAAAATTGAATTAGAAAACTTCATTTTTTAAATGTTTTCGGGTAATTTAATTTTCTGAAAAAAAGAAAAAAATTTTTTTTGATTTTTGAACTAGGTGATTCATTGGGAAATTATTGCTGATTTTTAGTTTTTAGGCTTTTTTGTTCGAAAAATTTTTTTCAGAAATTTTCAATTTTTAATGTTATCTGATATCCCCTTATTTTTTAAATCAAAAATTTCAAATTTCAAAATTTTCAGACAAAATGGAAAATTCAGGGAAAACTTTGATCGAAGAATTGGTATCCCAGGAAAAAGCAACACAGAATTACAGAATCTCAGAATCTCAGAATCTCAGAATCTCAGAATCTCAGAATCTCAGAATCCCAGAATCCCAGAATCCCAGAATCTCAGAATCTCAGAATCTCAGAATCTCAGAATCTCAGAATCTCAGAATCCCAGAATCTCAGAATCTCAGAATCTCAGAATCTCAGAGAATCTCAAAAATCTAAATTCCAGGCCTGCACAACTGGCTCCATAATAAACGGTCTGAATTTCTATGCGATCATTTTTCGAATCCAAAAAAGGGATGGTTTTTTGAAAATTTGTGGCTTGAACAGTTTCGGGAATACATTGGTTTGTTTTGGATATCTTTGTTTTCCAGTTCCGGTATTGTTAATGTAAGTTTTGGAAAAGCACAATAAGCTACAGTAACCAAAATTTTGATCTTCTAAATTTTTGAATTTCTTCAATTCTGAATTCAAAGACTACAGTAATCCCTAATTTTTTTCAGAAATGAGCCTCCAAATCACTGGCTTAACGCTGTGATGGGTCAATTAATTGGTTGGTTCGCCTGGAGTTTTGCCCCTCTTGCTCAGATTCTATTGGCCACAAATCGAATCACAGCTGTGTTCATGCCTCATTTGCATATGAAAAAATATCGATTTTCACCTACTAATGTGAGGTTTTTTCAATCTGAAAATACGAATTTTTGAAATTACGAAAATACGAAATTTTGAAATTATGAAACTTTGAAATAATGAAATTTAGAGATTCTGAGATTCTAAGATTCTGAGATTCTGAGATTCTAAAGTTCTGAGATTCTGCGGTTCTGAAATTCAGAAGTCCAAAAATATCAAAAAAATTCCAGATTGGCATAATTGCCGCCCTCTCAGTTGCTGTTTTCCTATTCCTCGTCCTCCTCCCCGAAGGCTGTCATTATCTTTTCAATGCTGATTACGTCGGCTGGATTGGAGAAATCAGTACATGCACTGAAATTGCTCAGGATATGTTTCTAGTTTCACTGATGGTCATAGCAGCATTTACAGCAATTTGTAGTGTTCTTCTATTTTTTAAATTAATTTTGAATACGGTAAGTTTTCTGGAATTTTAGATTTTGAGCCATTTTGAGCATTAAAATCGTTCAAAATTGCTCAATTTTTTGAAATTTTTTCTGAAAAAAATCTGAAAATCCTCCAAAATTTTCAGACAGAACACCAGCAAATTTCCAGCTACGCAATTCTACAAAGACATCGAAAAAATCGGAGAATGATAATTCAGGCTTTAATCCAGAGTGCGCTAATTATTCTGGACTCTTTTAATTCTACAGTAACCTACAATGTATTTCCAAATCTCTTATTTCAATTTTTGACACTTTCGTTTTCAATGGTTTTCTTGAGAACTGTTGAAGGGTAAGGGACTTTTTGGGTTTTCTGTGTCATAACTTAATTTTTGAATTTCTTAGGTCATGACTTAATTTTTTGGATTTTCTAGGTTATAACCTACCTTTTACTAGGCCATGACCTAATTTTTTCTAGGTCATGACTTAATTTTCTGGACTTTCTAGGTCATGACCGATTTTTTTGGATTTTCTAGGTCATGGCCTGATTTCTTTTGGGTCATGACCTAATTACTTCTAGGTCATGACCTAATTTTTCTGTGTCATGACCTAATTTTTTAGATTTTCTAGGTCATGACCTAATTTTTTTTAGGTCATGACCTAACTTTTTGGATTTCTAGGTCATGACCTAATTTACGAATTTTCTAGGTCATGACCTAATTTTTTTTAGGTCATGACCTAACTTTTTGGATTTCTAGCTCATGACCTAATTTTCGGATTTTCTAGGTCATGATCGACTTTTTCGGATTATTTTTTCAAATTTTATTTAAAAAAATTTTCAGTTTCGTCGTATTCTACATCAACTATCAATACAGAAGTTCGGAAAATTTTGGGAATTAAAAAATCGTCCCATTCTGGGACGATTTTTTGTTCAAAAACGGGAATCGATGTCTACTGGGACCAGAAAACAGAATTATTGAAAACTTTTTTTGGAATTTTGGTTTAATTGCTATGTAATAAAATTTTTTTTTTTTCGAAAATAAAAAATTCGTCGAATTTTCCGTTTTATAATTTTGAAAATCGTGATTTTTTGTTCATACCCAGGACCCAGGACCCAGGACCCAGGACCCAGGACCCAGGACCCAGGACCCAGGACCCAGGACCCAGGACCCAGGACCCAGAAAATGACCTAGAAAACCCTGAAAAATTAGGTCATGATCTAGAAAATCGAAAAATCTCTTATTCTGAAAATTCAAAAACTTCAATTTTTGGAAAAAGTGCACTTTGACAATTCCCAAACGGGGGCTAATGAGACAATTAATTTTTGCATTTCTCATTTCTTTTTCGATTTTTCCATTTTCTCAGAATCCAGAAATTCTGAGATTAAGAGTTTCAAAACCTGAATTTTCTCTAACTCAAATCTTTTTCCTTCCTTTTCCTCTATTTCATCTTGTTTTTTCCTCTATTTTTTCTCTGTTAATATTCTTGACATGATAAATATCAAAAATCTGTTATCATCCCTTTCTTTTTGCTCATCTTTTGATAACAGCGAAAATTTGGTATCTCTTTTCCTGTTCCTCTTTTTTTCTTCTTCTTTTTTTTTTCTTTTTTCTCCATGACAACCTGCCATTTTCTGTTCTTCTTCCTCCCTAATTTTCTTATTTTTCAGTTCCATTTCAACCAAAAAGTTTTTCTTCTTTTTTTTCTGATAATTAGGTGTTAGATTTGTTGTTGTTTTTCTTATTTTTTTTGGAATTTTTTTGAATTTTTTGGATTAGGGAATGTTGGAAATTCTTAACTTCTGAATTGGTTTAATTCTGGAATTCCGAAAGTTCTGATAATCTGAATTTCTGAATTTCTGAATTTCTGAATTTCTGAATTTCTGAATTTCTGAATTTCTAAATTTCTGAATTTCTGAATTTCTGAATTTCTGAATTTCTGAATTTCTAAATTTCTGAATTTCTGAATTTCTGAATTTCTAAATTTCTGAATTTCTGAATTTCTGAATTTCTGAATTTCTAAATTTCTGAATTTCTGAATTTCTGAATTTCTAAATTTCTGAATTTCTGAATTTCTGAATTTCTAAATTTCTGAATTTCTGAATTTCTAAAATTCGAATCCAAAAATATTTTGAAGCTCTTCAAATTATTCAGATTTTTGATCATTAACATTTTCTTCGAAAATTTTAGAATGAGATTTCACAATTTTCGAGCGTATTTTGGGATTTTTGGATAATCCTGAAATATCAAAAGTGCATTCTCAGAATCTGAGAATCTGAGAATCTGAGAATCTCAGAATCTCAGAATATCAGAAACTCTGAATTTCAGAATTTCAGAAATTCAGAAATTGAAAAGTTAAATGATTCAAAAATTCAAAAACTCAGAATTTCAGAATTTCGAAAAAACGAAAATTCCAAAAAAAAAAAGAATCAAAATTCCAAAAAAAAATCAAGAAATCTAAAAACTTGAAATTCTAAAAACCGTAAAACCTGTATTAGAAGGGCCGGCCCTTCTATTGTTCCAAGGTACCTCCAGTGAGCCCTTCTATTACAGGGGTCCTTCAATCAGAGGGGCCCATTCTACTTTTCCGGCCAGTTTTCCTGAATTTTCGTTCAAAATTCATGAAAATCCTGCCAATTTCACCAAAATGTAGCAAGATTTTCATCGGAAAATAGAGTTTCAACAAAATTTCTATTAAATTTTGAAGTTCCCAAAATATTTTCCACTGTAAAAATACGGAAATTTTCTGAGTTCAAAACACATTTTAAAGGGGCGGTCCTTTTTCACAGAGGGCCCTTCTATTACAGGGGGGGGGGGGCTTCAATTTTTCCGAGCCTCTTTCGGAGGGCCCTTCTATTAGAGGATCCCTTCTATCAAATTGCCCTTGTAATACAGGTTTTACGGTATTTGTTCCGAAAATGCAAAAAAGTCCTGAATCTGATCTCCGTCTTAAAATTCGCACATCACTTCTAAAAAACCGGAAATCTGAGAAAATTCTAGATTTCATTTTTCCGGGATCTAAAAATCGAAATCAATTTCTCATCAGAATAAATGCAAAAAGTCATGTATTTATTGACTTATCCTCATCTTCTCAAAAATCCATCTTAATGCTCCACGAGCCGGCTCCGCCCACTCAGATGCGGGGAGAAAGATAGAGATTATCCTAATCTACATGTATATTTTTCTCTGCTTTTCCTTTCCTAACGAATTCTTATATTTCTTATATTTCCCCCCTCCGTTTTCAGCTCCAATTCATATCATAAATCCCTTACATTTCATTGAATTCTTATCATATTTTTTCTTCTTTTTTTCTGATCCTAATGTCAATCCCATTGGGGTCATGATGTATATTTTTGATGGATTTAATGACATTATGGATATCTTGTCTGGAAACAAAAATTGGGAGATTTGAAAAGGTTAGATTTTCCAATATTCCGAAAAAAAACTAGAAATTCTGAAATTCTGAAAATTGAATTTTCAAACTGATAATAGAAACTCAGTTACCGTGAAACCTGTATAAGAGGGGCCCCTCTAACAGAAGGGCCCTCCGAGAGGGGTTTGGAAAAATAGACGGGACCCCTGTAATGGAAGGGCCCCCTTCAAAATGTGTGTTTGAAATCAGAAAATTTCCGTATTTTTACAGTGAAAAATGTTTTGGGAACTTCAGAATTTAATAGAAATTTTGTTGAAACTCTATTCTTGCTAAATTTCAAAGAAATTTGTAGATTTTCATTAATTTTAAACGAAACTTTGTCGAAATTTTCGATGCAAATTTTAGGAAAAAACTGGCCGGATAGAAGATAGAAGGGCCCTTTGGAGGTAACTTGGAACAATAGAAGGGCCGGCCCTTCTAATACAGGTTTTACGGTATGCTAGAAATTCAGTTTTCCTGGAGGAAGGTCAGAATGGTTAAACTTTTATATAAAATGTTGAGAATGAAGATTTTTGAATTGTCAGACAAATCACAAAATCGAAAAAAAGAACTGAAAATTCGGAATTTTTTGAGGATTTTGAGTTTTTTGACTACCAAATTTTTCAAAATTTTTTTATATTTTAAAATTTTTAGTAACTTTAGAATTTTTGAATTGTGGAATGAACTTTTGAGCTTCAGAACCTCAGAAGTTCAAAAACTGAATGTGAGAATTTCAAAATTTTGGAATTTCAGAACTTCTGATTTCCGAATCTCAAATTTTCCAAATTTTCAGCTAATCCTCTGAAAATTGGATGATTCACATTGTTCTTCTGCCTAGCCAAAAAAAAGCCAAAAGAAGCGAAATTCTTTCCGTTTTTCCTAATCTTTTATCAAGTTTTTTGGTTTTTAAAGATTTGAAATTTTTTCTCGCAATGAAAAAATTCTAGATTTTTCTCTTATGTTTTTTTTTCGATTTCAAAAAAATGACGAATTCTAGAAACTCGTTTTTTCCCTTATTCGTTAATTTCTCTATTCTGTACATTGCTCAGCCTCGAGGGAAAACTGGAAACTCGACACCTTCATCATTTTTGCATTTTGCATTTCGCATTTTTTTTGTTGACACATAAAACATAAAAATAATATTTGCATCCAAATTGTCCAAATTGTTGATATTCTTTTTTGCCAAATTCAGAATTTCAGAAATTCGGAAATTCGGAAATTCAGAAATTCAGAAATTCAGAAATTCGGAAATTCCAAAAATTCAAAAATTCAGAAATTCAGAAATTCAGAAATTCCAAAAATTCAAAAATTCAGAAATTCAGAAATCTTGAAATATAGAAATTCAGAAATTCAGGAATTCAGAAATTCAGAAATTCAGAAATTCAGAAATTCAGAAATTCAGAAATTCAGAAATTCAGAAATTCAGAAATTCAGAAATTCAGAAATTCAGAAATTCAGAAATTCAGAAATTCAGAAATTCAGAAATTCAGAAATTCAGAAATTCAGAAATTCAGAAATTCAGAAATTCAGAAATTCAGAAATTCAGAAATTCAGAAATTCAGAAATTCAGAAATTCAGAAATTCAGAAATTCAAAAATTCAGAAATTCAGAAATTCAGAAAATTAGAAATTCAGAAAATCAGAAATTCAGAAAATCAGAAAATCAGAAATTCAGAAATTCAGAAATTTAAAAATTCAGAAATTCAGAAATTCAGTAATCCAGAAATTCAGAAATTCAGAAATTCAGAAATTCAGAAATTCAGAAATTCAGAAATTCAGAAATTCAGAAATTCAGAAATTCAGAAATTCAGAAATTCAGAAATTCAGAAATTCAGAAATTCAGAAATTCAGAAATTCAGAAATTCAGAAATTCAGAAATTCAGAAATTCTGAAATTCAGAAATTCAGAAATTCAGAAATTCAGAAATTCAGAAATTCAGAAATTCAGAAATTCAGAAATTCAGAAATTCAGAAATTCAGAAATTCAGAAATTCAGAAATTCAGAAATTCAGAAATTCAGAAATTCAGAAATTCAGAAATTCAGAAATTCAGAAATTCAGAAAATCAGAAATTCAGAAATTCAGAAATTTAAAAATTCAGAAATTCAGAAATTCAGAAATTCAGAAATTTAAAAATTCAGAAATTCAGAAATTCAGTAATCCAGAAATTCAGAAATTCAGAAATTCAGAAATTCAGAAATTCAGAAATTCAGAAATTCAGAAATTCAGAAATTCAGTAATTCAGAAATTCAGAAATTCTGAAATTCAGTAATTCCGAAATTCTGAAATTCTGAAATTCAGTAATTCCGAAATTCTGAAATTCCTATCGTTCGATTCCTACCGGAAACGAACGCCCACTGAATTTTTTTTCATTTTTTCTATTTTTTGGATTGCTTAGCTTCCATTAAATTAGACATCCTTTTTTCTGTTTTTTTTCTAATCTTTTCATAATTATTCAGACTTCCGGATTGTCAAAAAATTGGCATATTTTTCCTGTCGAAAATTTTTGCTTTCCAATGACTCATTTTTAATTTTTTTTTTCCTTCCTTCATCCACATTTCTCAATTTGAGCTCAATTTTTAGATCTTCACAGCTCCAAAATCACACTATTCTCTGTATATTAAAATTCCAAAAATCTGAAATTTTCAGCCAAAAATTATCCCATCATCTTCATACGTGTCGGCGATCCCGGCCCGGGTCCGGGATCGGAGTGCCAGTACATCGAGAAGGGTGATTCGAAGCGATCCACCGACATGCTCCTCGATTGCGGTGAGTTTTGAGTTTTGGTGCCTAGAAAAAGCTCAGGTGGTATATAAAACCACGAAGGTATAAAAAATTGCTGATTTCTGAAAGACACCTATTTTGCCCTTTTTAGTACCAAACGGACCAAAAAGGGTGGTCCTTCAGAAATCGGCTAATAGCTGAAAAACTAGCATATTTCAAAAATTCTGTATATGCAAAGTTTTCAATCTAGATCTGTTTTACAATCTCCGAAGTTTTCAAAGTGATGACCGTCAAGTCAAATGGTCAAAAGGGCTGAAAATCAACTGAAAAATACACATTTTTGTTTATCTTAATGGTCGGTACTGTATAAACAAGACGTTTGGTGCCTCCTTTTTCTGCAATTTTTTCTCCTGTAGCAATTGATTTGGTTTTTTAGGCCATCGAGGTTTTTCTAGGCCATATGTTTTTTTTTCCAAATGGTCGGGTGAAAATCTAATTTCTGAAAATATAATTCTTCAAAAATTCAAAAGTTTATTTTCTGGAATTTCAGAAAAGCTGAAACTCTGAATGTTTGAAATACTCAAGTTCTGAAAAATTCAGGTTTTTGAAACTCTGAACTTCTGAGATTTTGAAATTCTGAACTTCTGAGATTCTGAGATTCTGAGATTCTGAGATTCTGAGATTCTGAGATTCTGGGATTTTGAGATTCTGAGATTCTGAGATTCTGAGATTCTGAAATTCTGAGATTCTGAGATTCTGAGATTTTGAGATTCTGAGATTCTGAGATTCTGAGATTCTGAGATTCTGAGATTCTGAGATTCTGAGATTCTGAGATTCTGAGATTCTGAGATTCCGAGATTCTGAGATTCTGAGATTCTGAAATTCTGGGATTCTGGGATTCTGAGATTCTGGAATTCTGAGATTCTGGAATTCTGAGATTCCGGAATTCTGAGATTCTGGAATTCTGAGATTCTGAGATTCTGGATTCTGATTCTGTAACTGGGAGGTTCGGCGATTCTGAGATTACCGAATTCTCCGAAATTCGAATCTCCGAAATTCGGAATCTCCGAAATTCATGAAATTTTGAAAGTTATGAAAGTTATGAAATTCTGAAGGTCTGAAATTCTGAATTTTCTGAAATTTTTGAATTGGCGGCCTAGAAAACCAAACCCTCCCAAAAGCTCTTCCATTTCCTTTTCTTTATCAAATTTCGAAAATTAAAGATATCTAAATATTTCATCTGTCCCTTTAAACCCCCAAATCCAGATCATCAGAAAACCCCAAAAATCCCTTTCCACATCTAAATAAAAACCACTCTCGGAAATTAGAATTTTCTTTTCCTTTCCCTTCATTTTTCTATAAATTTCCTGGATCAAAAACCCTTTTAATGCAAATCAACGGGGAAAATGCAGAATTTCCGGTTTTCTCTGGGTCTCTACTTTTTTTTGCTCTATTTTTTTGCTTAAATTTCCCAAAATTTCATGAAAATCAATGGGAAAACTTCTAAAATATCCCAAAAAAAGTTTTTTGTTTCCATTTTTAAAATTTTATCACATGAAAAATGTTTTCTCTCCTTTCCCTCCCCTCTCCTCCTCTGCCTCTTTTCCCCCTCCCTCTTATACGTCTTCCCACTCTTCCCGCTTCCGTGACTGCTTGGCGCAATGGTAGCGCGTTCGACTCCAGATCGAAAGGTTGGGCGTTCGATCCGCTCAGTGGTCAAACTTTTTTTTCTTCTTTTTAAAGATGTCTGGAGGTTGGGAAAGTTGTTTAGAGTGATTTATAGCTAAATTAAGGTTCACAGTTTGAATTTTTTGCCAATTTCAGGAGGACAACGTCGGCGAGTACAACTCTGAAGCAGAATCCGAGGCAAGTGGGGACCGTCGGCCGGAGCACGTCGCCGCGAGATACGTGCCAACGCAGCGGAGCGACGATGGAGGATATCCGAACCATGTGAGTAGGGGGAATAGATCGGAAATTAAGAGGAAGTTACGCAAAAAACGCTTTTTGGGATTCGAAAAAAAAATGTTTTTTCAATAATCTTTACAAATTCCAGCATCATCACGAAGCCTTCAACCGAACAGTGTCCGCAGTATCACTTCCTGTTGGAAAGCAATTAAAAGATATGTCTGATAAAACAATGTACGAACGAGCGATCGCTCAACTTGATAGCGATCCATTGGTTCATAAAGAGGTATGTTACAGTAGTTCAATTTTTACGCCAATTTTCAGTTTTCTGTTAAACATAGGAATAAGTGGTCAACTGATAAAATGTTTATCATAATATCAACAATATTTTATCAGTTAACCGCTTTTTGATATCTCTTACAGTAACCCAGCAAATCGCCTTTTTCCAGGTCGCACTTGGTCGCCGGATCGGCTTCTATAGGCTTGGCAAGGAACTTGGCGCTGGAAACTTCTCAAAAGTCAAGCTAGGAGTTCATCAGCTCACCAAAGAAAAAGTCGCGGTCAAAATCATGGATAAGGCAAAAATGGACCAAAAAGCGCAGAAACTTTTGATGCGGGAGATTGAGTCGATGGAGAAGATGAATCATCCGAATATCATCAAATTGTTTGAATGTGTGGAGACGTTGACAAGGGTTCATCTAGTGGTGGAGTATGCCAGTGGAGGCGAATTGTATACGTTTGTTCATGAACGAGGAAAATTGAGTGAAGCCGATGCGAAACCATTTTTTGCGCAGATTGTATCAGCGGTGGCGCATATGGTGGGTTTGGTGGTTTTACGAATGTGTAGCTCAGCTGATAGTGGTGTTTTGAGCCAATTATCTTGATTCCTATGAGAGATTTCAAAAATCTGCCAACTGATAAAATGTTGATGATATTATGATAAGTAATTTATCTGTTGACACGTTCTTGATATGTTTCACAGGAACCGAGATAATTGACTTCAAAATTGAAAGCCAAAGAGTCCTTCTATAATATCAAATACGGTAACTTTAACCTACTTTATCCTGATTCCTTAGACAACTACTGCAAATTGGTCAATTTGTAAAATTTTTTTTTCTAAAATTTTACACATTTTGTTTGTTGACAACTTTTTGTTATCTTTCACAGTAACCTAGACAAACTAGGTCAAAGTTACTTCCTTCCAGCACGCCCGCAACCTGGTCCATCGAGACATCAAAGCTGAAAATGTGATGTTTGCCAATCCAACAACCGTGAAACTTGTGGATTTTGGATTTTCGTGTCAAGTACAGAGAGATCAGCTTCTGGAGACCTTCTGTGGAAGTCCGCCATATGCGGCACCCGAACTTTTTAGGTATGGTTTTTTGAATAGTTTTTCGTGAATAAATCATCCAAATCATCTTCCCAGCACATCTGGAACTTAAGATACGATCATTTGAAACGTCCGTTGTGTTAGAGACGCAGCGTGTCTCGTCGTCTGCGCCTCTAGCCGCCTAAACTTGAAGCTGCTCTATCTCGGCTTCTAGAAGCGCTAGAAATGTAATTTTTAGGCAGAATTGTAGAGAATCTTGTCTACTTTATAATCCAAAGATTGATAAATCCCAAGATCCTAAGATCCATTGATCTTTGAATTCTTGAATTTTAAAATTTTGAAATTTTTATAAAGAATCCAGAAATCCATTTCAAACCCTAGAATTCTATCCAAAAACCAACTTCCTAGCTCATCTAGAACTCGAGATACGGTCATTTGAAATTTCCGAGGCTAGAGACGCAGCGTTTCTCGTCGTCTGCGTCTCTAGCCTCCTAAATTTGGAGTGGCTCTATATCGGTTCTTAGCAGCGCTAGAAATGCCATTTTTGACAGAATTGTAGGAAATTCAAACTATTTTTTAATTGAATTTTTTTCAAAAATTATCTTTTGCAGAGACAAGTCCTACTGCGGAGAGCTAGTCGATGTATGGGCTCTCGGAGTTCTCCTATACTTCATGCTAGTAGGCGTAACACCCTTTAAAGGAGAAACCGTTGCTGATATGAAAGTAATGATAATGGACGCCAAATTTCAACTTCCCGAATACATCAGCCTAATGGCTGGCGAGCTTATCAAGAGCATGCTTCGTCCGGATTTCGAGAAAAGAGCCGATATTGAGTATGTGAAGAAAAATTTCTGGATGCGGGATTGCAGATTTACAAAGAGCTATTTGTCAATCAAAGCTAATGTGGAAATCGAGGATGAGGCCGAGAAAACAGCAGTTAATGATAAGGTAAGCGAAACAAAAAAGATAAAAAGGAACTGAAGAGAGTGGGATTCGAACCCACGCCCCCGAAGGGACTGGTGCCTTAAACCAGCGCCTTAGACCGCTCGGCCATCTCTCCACACGCACCAACAGGAGAGAAAGGCGTAGATAAAGAGAAGGCGAAGGGGGAGGGAAGGGGGGGGAGCGAGGGGAGAGAAAAGGAGAAAAAAATGAAAAATTTCTCCTTCAGGTATGGAAAATAATGACAAGTTTCGGAATAACTCCTGAAATGTTGGCGGAAAATAATTTGGATAAAGGACCGAGAGATTCTATAATTGGGACCTATCGAATTGTGCAGTTTCAAGTTCAACATGAAATGGCAAAGGTTTGAAAAGTTGAAAATTTTGAAATTTCTCAGATTTCAAATTTTTTCAGGCTGCTAAAGAAAAGGATACACCACCAGCTAGCTCGTCGACACTTTCAAATGGTTCACCGGCAAAAAATAATAATCGAAAGCTGAAAAGTCGATCGAAAACTTGCTCGATTTTGTGAATTTACTTTGAAATTTTTGAAAAACGGCTTTCAATTTTATTTTAGAAGTTCATATCTATTTTTGAGACTTTTTTTGTATATTTTTGAGATTCAATGTAATAAATTTAATTCTAAAAATTCAAAATTTCCAGAATATTCCAAAATTCAGAAATTCAGGAAACATCCAGAGCGTTACCCATGACAATAAAAGAAGACAAAAGAAGACAAAGCTCAATGAGCACTACAAATAATAAATGAAAAGAAGAAAAGATGCGCTTTTCCATTGCCAATAGTAACCGCATGACAACCGAAAAGGAAGACAGCGCTTTAGTGTTTCATTTTCCAAGGTTTTGCTGTTTGCCTTAAGCCCACCCTATACGTTTTCTTTGAATTCAATTATCTCGGCTCCCATGAAAGATATCAAAAATTTGTCAACTGATAAATTGTTTATCACAACAGCAGCAATATTTTATCAGTTTACGAATTTTTGATATCTCTTATGGGAACCGAGATAAGTGAGCTCAAAAATCGTATAGATGAGCTTCTGAATACTGTAACTCAAACCTAATTTATCTCGGTTCCCATAAACGTTACTGCAAAACTGTCAATTGATAAAATGTTTATCATCACCAATATTTTATTAGTTGACGACTATTTTGATATCTTTTACTGTAACCCAGTTAAATTCATATTCAGAGATGGTTCGAAAATCTCATTGTGGTTATGGATTCTTCCTGATCATTGCTCTACTATTGACTCTGGCGTCTGTTTTCACTCCAGGGTGGCGTAGTTATAAAGGTGAGAATAACTAATTGAAGCTGGTCGACCGAAAATCCGCGGCCGCCGACCGACCGCTGACAGACTTGCGACCTGCAATACCGGCCATTCAGAAGTTTTATTTTGTGATTTTTGAGAAAAATTTTTTATATCTTTCTAATTATAAAACAGACAAAATTTCCTGCAATTCTGTCCAAAAATCGCATTTCTAGCGCTTCTAGGAACCGAGATAGAGCTGCTCCAAACGCATGAGGCTAGAGATGCAGACGACGAGACACGCTGCGTCTCTAACCTCCGGAAACTTCAAATGACCGTATTTCGAGTTCTAAATGAGCTAAAATGTTGGTTTTTGCACAGAATTGAACGCCTTAAGATGGATTTTGAGATCATTCACTAAAATTGAAAAAAAAACAATTTAAACCGTGTAATTCTGTCCAAAAACCAACTTCTTAGTTCATCTAGAACTCGAGATACTGTCATTTAAAGTAACCGAGGATAGAGAGGCAGCGTGTCTAGTTGTCTGCGTCTCTAGCCACCTGAATTTGAAGCGTATCTACCGCGATTCCTAGCAGAACTAAAAATCTGATTTTTAGACAGAACTATAAGAAACTTTATCTATTGTATAACTTTGTAAAGCTGTAGCCAGCGCGCTTGCCGATAGATCAGCTAGGTCGGCTGGTTCGGCGGTCGGCCGGCCAAGCCGACCAAATGGAAAGCTCATTTTTCAGGCAACGGAGCCCCGGACATCGGATTGATCTCCAGATACTGTGGAAATGGAGTTCGGGAAGTGAACCAGTACGACTGCAAGGCATACGGTAGATTCCAACTACCATTCGAGAAGGCAACCCTGGCATTCATGATCATTGCGATTATTCTGGAGATTGTGTCATTGGGATGTTTTGTTGGATTATTTTCTCCAAGGGCAGGCTCGGAATGCCAGCATTCAGTGTCACTGGTTTAGCGTTTCTCAGCTTGTTTGGGGCTATATTGGTATATGGAGTAAGGATGCAGTACAAGACCAGTAAGTGACCTAACTTTGGCAACATGATTATTCTAGGCCACCATGGTAAATAGCCTGGAAATGGTCTGACATTTAACTGGTGTGTTTTCTAGGTCATTTCACCATGGTGACCTAAGTTTGAGGATTCTAGACTACTATGGAAAATCGCCTAGAAAAGACCTTATTGTATTTTCTAGGCTAATTTTAACATGATGGCCTGACTTTGAGTTTTCTAGGCCCCCATGGTAGATAGCCTAGAAACAGTCTGATATTCACTTGGCCTGCATTCTAGACGGGTTTAACACGGTGGCCTAACTTTTGCAAGTTGGGTTTTCTAGGCCATCAACTTTTATGACTTGAAAATGACCTGATATGGTATGTGTGTTCTAGGCCATTTTAATATGGTGGCCTAACTTTTGCAAGTGGGGGGGGGGGGTTTTCTAGGCCACAATTTTAAAATTTCAGTGTATCTCCAATCGACGTCATACGAGCTTCTGGCCAATGTCTACTTGGGATACTCCTATTGGATCGCTGTCATCGCCGCGGTCTTCCTTCTGATTTCTTGCAGTCTTTCTGGAACATTGATTGGACCAACTGAGAATACTGAGCACTTGCATTGAAAATTTTCGAAAATGTTCATTCTTTAATCAAAAAGTTCCCGAAACTTCCTATTATTTTTTGAGCCAATTTTCCAAAACAAACTCCTAAAAATTCCGTTTTTTTGCCCAATTTCCTAAATTTTCCTCATTTTTTCTCATTTTTTTTCTTGAAGAATTTCTGTTTGAATTTAAAAAAAATGATTTCGATAATATTATTTTCCAATTTTCAGACTTTTTTCCAGAATATTTCGTTTTAAACCGCATGTCAATAAAGGTATTAAAGACAAATTCTTTCTGAAATCCTGAAATTCTGAAAAGTTCTGAATTTCTGAATTTTTGAGTTTCTGAAATTTAGAAAATCTGAATTTTCAACCACAAATCAAACAATGATCATGATGACTAATTATTTTAAAATTCTTAACAGTTGAGAAAATTTTTTCAAATAAATTTTGACAGTTTCTTATCTTTTTGTGACTTATAGAATTAAAAATTGTTTCAATTGGTTTATGATTTTTTCCGCAAATTATGAGATTCTGAGATTCTGAGATTCTGAGATTCTGAATTTCGGAATTTCTGAGATTCTGAGATTCTGAAATTCTAAAATTTGCAATTCTGTAATTCTGACATTCTAAAGTTCAGAAATTCAAGAAACAAATTCTCATAATCCCTCATGTGATTTTTTTTGCAATATTTTTTTTTCAAAATTTCACATTTTCACACACCACCTGCGCTCACACCATACTACAAACAAACTTTTTGTTTATTTTTCAAAAATATTTTTCAAAAAAAAAAAAAAATTCAGAAATTCAGAAATTCAGAAATTCAGAAATTCAGAAATTCAGAAATTCAGAAATTCAGAAATTCAAAAATTCAGAAATTCAGAAGTTCAGAAATTCAGAAATTCAGAAATTCAGAAATTCAGAAATTCAAAAATTCAGAAATTCAGAAATTCAGAAAATTAGAAATTCAGAAAATCAGAAATTCAGAAAATCAGAAAATCAGAAATTCAGAAATTCAGAAATTTAAAAATTCAGAAATTCAGAAATTCAGTAATCCAGAAAGTCAGTAATTCAGTAATCCAGAAATTCAGAAATTTAGAAATTCAGAAATTCAGAAATCCAGAAATTCTAAACTTCTGAAATTTTCCAATTCTGAAATTATAAAATTCTGATTATTGTGAAATTCCCAAACAGTTGGATAAAAAAAAAGAGAGAGAAAGAGAGCGACGCAGAGGAAGACGCAGAGAAACAAAAAGGAGACTCTATTTTCGGGAAATTTAGTACTCCGAAAAAAAGAGAGTGAGTGAGAGAGTGTGATAAAGTGAGAGACGCTGAGTAAGAAGTAGCAAGAGGGAAAATAACAGGTGTGTTGGTTTTTTGGCCGTTCTCTGGGGAAGTTTCTCGATTGTGTTTTTTCGAAAAAGTTTGAACTTCTGAATTTGAGAAATACTTTAAAATCCAAAACATTGAAAAGTCTTTGTTTTCTCTGAGGTGTTGTGGTTCCCTTGTGAGGTTCACTTTTTTTGCTTTTTAGTTGTCAGTGCTCTCTGGTGCTCTTTTTCGTTATCAACCACATGAAATTTTTTAAATGATTCACCTTTTTTCAAAAATACACTTTTCTTATCAGTGGTCATAATTCTTTTAGTACTGGTTCCGAAATTTTCAGTATTTAGAATTTTAGAATTTCTGATTTCCAAAATTCGAGAATTTCAGAATATCAGAATCTTGGAATTTCTTAATTACTAAATTTCCGCATTTAGAGCTTTAGAATATCAATTTAGAATTTTTAGAATTTTAGAATTTTAGAATTTTAGAATTTTAGAATTTTAGAATTTTAGAATTTTAGAATTTTAGAATTTTAGAATTTTAGAATTTTAGAATTTTAGAATTTTAGAATTTTAGAATTTTAGAATTTTAGAATTTTAGAATTTTAGAATTTTAGAATTTTAGAATTTTAGAATTTTAGAATTTTAGAATTTTAGAATTTTAGAATTTTAGAATTTTAGAATTTTAGAATTTTAGAATTTTAGAATTTTAGAATTTTAGAATTTTAGAATTTTAGAATTTTAGAATTTTAGAATTTTAGAATTTTAGAATTTTAGAATTTTAGAATTTTAGAATTTTAGAATTTTAGAATTTCTGAATTTTTGAATTTCTGAATTTTTGAATTTTTGGATTTCCCGCCACCACCAAAGGAAAGGCGCTCTGTCGTGACACACTAAAACTTTGGACTGATATAACTTTGCTGAAATTGACGAGCGTGTTCTAAAATTTTCAGGGATGTCTAGATAGGATATCCTTGACATATTCTGAAATTTTCATCAAAATTCAAACTGACGAGGTGTTGTTGTTCCCTTGTCAGAAAAAAAATGCAAAAAAAGTGAAAATTAAATATTTTTTCTCTAAAATTTTGCAGGAGAAACATCTTGAGAGAAAACAAAGACTTTTCAACGTTTTGGATTTTAAAGTATTTCTCAAATTCAGAAGTTCAAACTTTTCGAAAAAAAACAATCGAGAAACTTCCCCAGAGAACGGCCAAAAAACCAACACACCTGTTATTCTCACTCTCTCTTTTTCGGAGTAAAACTAAAATTTCCCGAAAATAGAGTCTCCTTTTTGTTTCTCTGCGTCTTCCTCTGCGTCGCTCTCTTTCTCTCTCTTTTTTTTTTATCCAACTGTTTGGGAATTTCACAATAATCAGAATTTTATAATTTCAGAATTGGAAAATTTCAGAAGTTTAGAATTTCTGGATTTCTGAATTTCTGATTTTCTAAATTTCTGAATTTCTGAATTTCTGAATTTCTGAATTTCTGAAATTCTGAATTTCTGAAATTCTGAAATTCTGAATTTCTGAATTTCAAAATTTTGGAATTTCAGAGTCTCGAAATTTCAGAATCTCAAAATTTCAGAATCTCAAAATTTCAGAATCTCAAAATTTCAGAGGTTCAGAATTTCAGAATTTCTGAATTTCTAAATTTCTGAATTTCTGGATTTCTGAATTTCTGAATTTCTGAAATTCTGAATTTCTGAATTTCTGAATTTCTGAATTTCTGAATTTCTGAATTTTTGGATTTCCCGCCACCGCCAAAGGAAAGGCGCTCTGTCGCGACACCCAAAAGACGGGGAAAGCAACGTGGATTTAGCCGCCCTTTTTCTCGAAATCAGTTTTTCCGGGTTAAATTTTAATTATTTTTGGTTAAATTTCTTTTTTTTTGTAATTTTCTTGAATTTTTTTGTTAGTTTCCTCCGAGATTCATCAATTTCCGTATAAGAATCACTAATTTTTCAGTTTCCTAGGTGCTTCAAATAATTTCTAAATGTGTTTTTGTTACTGTCAGAATCATAAGAAAGCAATTTTTCATTCAAAAAACATTCTAAAAATAGAAAAAAAGAAAAAACCACAAAAAAGTTAGAACCCTTGACCTTGCGCATAGGAGCAAGCAACACATCCCCGACACCACAGGTCCTGTGCGCGCATACGCATAATGGATGGGCGACGGAGGACGCGCCGATGAATTGGGTACAGGGAAAGGGCGCCGATATGAGGCATATACGGGGCATATGGGGCACACCGCCGCCGCAAAGCATCTCTTCGCCTGGCTTGCTGGCACTCGATGAAATGAACTAAAACGTTGGTTGGGGGTTCCTAGAAGTATCAGTTAAGTTCTATTGTGATGTGATTTTGTTCAGGTCTTCCGATTTCGTACTTTTCCTTTATTATTCCATATTTTTTTATATTTTGAACGACATATTACTGATATTTCGAAACTCAATGTTTTGGTTTTGAAAAAGACTTATGGCAGTTTCCATTTAAATTTGATATGCAATCAAAAACAGAAGAAAATGGGAAAAATTCGCTAAAAATTGTTTTTTTTTCATTTGTTCAAAAAAATATGTCTCACTTTCACTATTTTTGAAATTGCATGAAAAATTGAAAATTTTTATAATTTACACTTTGTAATTATTGTATACTTACAATTTACCTTTTATTCCACCTGAAAATACGATTTTTACATTAATTACATGTAATTGTAATTATAAAGTAAAATAAAAAATCTCAATATCACCTATTTTGGCGAAAAACTTAGCAATTAACGAGTGGAAGACATGTTTCTGTAAGGATTCAGCGATTTTTTTAGTCTGCCATAACTCTTTTTCACAAAAAAACATCGAAGGAATAATCGAAAAACCAGAAATGTAGGCTCGAATTGACGAAAAATTGACAAAGTTGTCGGTGTGGATTTACGGTAAACAATGCGCGCATCCGGGATTTCGGAGTGTTGTAGTCGGCCTACCGTATCAGACCCATATCGCACACATCGCCCACCCACCCAGAATCCATCTAGGATACGCGCGCATTCGGAACACTCGATTCAGCCTCTCCCGCATCGCACACATATGAGACTCATCGCAGCTCATTGTACGTGATATGTGTCAAATGGAATTCTAGAGGATCGCATATGGATCGGGTCCTTTATGCGCATCATCGCCCAGGAACTGTGACCACGGCTGCGACATTGGTGGAAAGTAGGGAAAGCGTATAGGTGTGTGGAGTGTTGTCAATTTTCCCCATTGTCTTGGGACACTGACAACTTGAAAACGCTATAACCCAGAGTCCCCCGTTTTTCCCCATTTAAATCCCTCTGGATTATCCGTTTTAATCGTGTCATATTCATTCCCCTCACACTCCGTTCTCTAATCACAATCAATTGTTTCGTTCACTAACTTAAATATAATTTGAATAAGCGCCAACACGCGTCGCGCTGCTCGGCATTGGCGCCGACATGAGCGGCGCTTTCCGCCCACGCACACACACGAATTGTTCGTATCTGAGAGGCGGGTATCTCCCTTTTTCTAACAGCTATGCGATCCCTTTCTACTTTTATTATAGTTTCAGACTATTTCCTACGTTTGGCAGTGTTATAGTTTTGGTAGCAACAGTTTTTGAGGGCAGCAAGGTTTCCTCCGGTAGCTCCCAGGAGGTTTTAGTCCTACACGGCGCCGCCGGCGTTTGTTTTTCCCAGCCCTGCCTACACCTTTACCTCTTTTCTGTATCGCTTTCTTTTACCCATTCCTATTGTCTTTGCCGTTTATTCAATCCTCTTTCCTTCAATAAATTGGGATTCGAATAGCTTGTGTACTGTTATGCACTTGCACCGCTTGTCTTACACATTGGGGGGTTTTGGGGTCTTTTACAGGTAAACAAGTCTCTCTGGTTAGGACGTTGGATCGGTCTCGACTGACCTCGGATCCACTGTCAATATGGAGCTGTCTCTACTTTTTTGGTGTGGGAAGTGGGTGACAGAAATCTGTGAAATAAGAAAAAAAGTAGACTTTTCTGAAATATCTCGGGGGAAGTTGATAAGGAAATTAGAAAGATATCTGGATAGGATAATAGTAACTTTCTTTAATGCTTTTCTTTTCTCTCTTTTTTTTGGTGAACTCCGCTTTTTTCTCCCATCTTAATACCTCTTATTTCATTGCACCGATTTTCAACTTTGAGCCTAATTATCTCGGTTTCTATAAAAGATATCGAAAATTTGTCAACTAATAAAATATTACTCAAAATATGTTTAACATTTTTGCATCTTATCACTTTTTGATATCTCTAACAGAAATCTAGATAAATTGACTCAAACTACCGTGATCTATTTTTCGCGCCGAAAATGTCTCTAGCAATTTATCTCGGTTACTGTAATTGATATCAAAATTTAACCAACTGATAAAATGTTGTTCATAATAAGATCAACATTTTATCTTCTGCAAACTTCTTGGAATCTCTCACAGGAACCGAGATAAATTGGCTCGAAGTTTTAGGACTACCGTAATCCTTCAAAGTATTCTTTTCAGAAATGTCTGTGACGTCTCTTGAACTCCAAGAAGAGCGTAATAAAAACGTTTTCACCCAATTCTACACCCCATCGTACCAATCGAAGCAGGCGAAAAAGAAGGAAGTTATCAATGAGGTTCAACAAGCATTGAGGGATTATAAACATAAATATGCCTTGAATTTCGCATGCACTTCTCTGTTGATTTGGAAAAAATTTGTATTTTTGGATTTTCCGGAACTAAAACGTTCGTCATCCCAACCAGTTTGTCAAATTCCTCCGACCGACAAAGCTTTTGCCTATTATCGAGTGGTTTCGGAATTTTCGGACAAGTACCTGCTGACTGCTTGTCATGTAAATGTTCATGGATATCATCGAGGTGATTTGAGATTCATTGAAATCAATAATCGAACTGTGACACGTGGCATTCCGGAGGGAGAGCACTGTTTGGGTCGACTGTTCATTGGGGATATTGTGGCGGTTACCGGAATGGCGATAAGGAAGAAATTTGAGGTGAGCAACTTTGAGCCAAGTTATCTCGGTTTCTATCAAAGATACCAAAAAGTTGTTAACGGATAAATTGTTTATCATAATATCAGCAACATTTTATCAGCTTACAAATTTTGATATCTTGAGTAGGAGCCGAGATAATTGAGCTCAAACTTAACAGTGTTTTTTTTCAAGTTTTCTGGATTTCTTCGATTTCTTGAATTCGCTAGCTAGAATTTTTGTAAAATTTGTAAATTTCTAGTAACAAAAATTCGTAAAATTCCAGGAATACACCATATTCGACATCACCAAAGACTCGGACTGCACATGGATGGCCACAAATATTACCGTACTCCCAAGATCTTCCAAAAAAGACGCCACATTTTCAACTCTAAAAAATGGAACAGCCGTCGTAAAAGAGCACAGTGAAGTGATGAATGTGGACAGTCCAAAACCGCTGAAAATTGGAATACTGTACACTGGATCCGCATTTTTACCAGAGAAAATGGCGAACAATTACTGTATGGATTTCCAGCCAGACCGGAAAAATGAGCTGATTTATACTTCATCGAAAATTCATCAATATCCGAATGCGTTGGGAACGATTTTCAAGTTTCAAGAGGATCCGGAGCTCACGAAAATGTTCGAAATTGGAACTGATGCTTTTTTGGTGAGCGATTTTTTCTTTAAGATATGGTTTCGAAGAATTTGAAGACTTCACTTTTTTTTTTTTTGAAAAAAATCTCTTTAATTACAAAATAGACAAGATTTCCTACAATACTGCCTGGAAATCTCGTTTATAGCGCTTCTAGGAACCGAGATAAAGCCGCTTCAAGTTTAGGAGGCTAGAGACGCAGACGACGAGACACGCTGCGTCTCTAACCTTGGAAACTTCAAATGACCGTATCTCGAGTTCTAGATGAGCTAGGAAGTTGGTTTTTGGATAGAATTTTAGGGTTTGAAATGAATTTTCAGATTAACCATAGTCTTGAGAATGAAAAAATTTAATCTCAGAATCCCAAAATCCCAAACAACAGATTCTCCAAAACCCGAGAATCCTGAAATCCTAGAATCTGCGAATCTCAGAATCGAAAAATCTGGGAATCTGAGAATTTCAGAGTCTCACAATCTCTGAATTTTGAAATCCTAAAATCTGAGAATCGCCCATTTTCAGTGCTCCTCCGCCTCGGAAATCCTTGAAACCTGCGTTCTAATGGGCTACGCCGCTGCCAATTCCATCACCAACGGCCGCTTCGACAGTCGTTCATTCCCCATGGAGAATATCGATCGAAAAGGTCCAATCGTCAAATTCCAAATCGATAATCCGGCGGACAATCCAACAGAAGGCAAATGGACAATTAATAGTCGTATAAAGATCAGTGGACCAACCGGGGAATGCAATGCAATCATAGAGACGGTGATTCTCCAAAAAAATCGGTTATCGATTACTTCAAGGCTGTCCAGAGATGTCCCACATCGAGAAAAATTCCAGGAAGGACTTTTCATTGTCTATCAAAGGGAGGCTCCAGAATCCCAAATTCTAAGGACAGGATTTTTCGAGAAGGTTCCAAGCCGGTCCAATGGTCGGAAAATTCTAGAGGTGCTCTATGGAGCAGACCCTCTGGAAAACCCCAAAAATCAAGCAATTTTCCAATACTTTTTCCCGGGAAAAGAAGGAAAATTGAAGCTAAATTATTATCAATGTGAATACGTTTCGATGCTTCTGAATCCAGAAATTCCAATTGTCGTTGGCTCCTCTCCTTTTGGATGTGGAAAATCGATGACGATTGTGACCGCTGCTTTGGAGATTTTCAAGGAAATTGATTCGATGAAAAAGAAGAAGGATAAGAAGAAGAGACAGTTATTGGTGACCCAGAGTAACTATGCCAGTGTGAACTTGGTGGATATTTCGGGAAAGATTTATTTGGAAGGTGAGGAGAAGATAAAGAAATTCAAAAAATTCAAAAATTCTGAAATTCACGATTCTGAGTCCTGTAGAAACGATTCAATTCCAGGAAAAGCCAAATTTTCTGGAATTTTTAGATTTTTCAAGAAAAATTGGAAAACTCCAGAAATTCAACTTTCTTGGGTTTTTTTTGGAATTTTCGAAAATTCTGATTTTTGGGATTTCAAGAATTTTGTATACTGTATGTAATTTTGAGATTTCTGTGGTATAGTTTTTGAAATTATGGTTATAAAGTCTTTTTCAAAATTTCTGAAATTCCGAATTCTGAAACTCTGAAATTCTGAATCTCTGAAATTTTGAAATTTTAAAATTCGGAGATTTTAAAGTTCTAGAATTCTAAAATTCCGAATTCTGGAATTCCGAAATGAAAAAACCTGAAAATTTTTTCAAAAAATCTGCGTTTAGGAATTGCTGAAATTACAGTAATTTTGCTGTAATAATCAGTGGGATCAGTGAATTTTCATTTTAAAAAATCTATACATATTCAGCCAAATTTCTTTTTCAAAATTTCAGAAAAAATAATTTTCCATTGTAAAATGTCATTTTCCAGATCAACAGGAAGAGGACAAGAAGCTCAAATTCGTGCGATTTGTCTCTGAAAAGAACTGGAAAGAACTTCCCCTTGAATGCCTAACCGATTATGACCTCCCAATGCTAATGGAGCAAGTGTTCCTGGATTGGGCTACGGTAGAACGTTCGGACGATCCGGTAGAACTCGAAGATCGCCATAAGAGGGATATGGTCCTATTTCTAACAAAAGAAAAAAAGGTGGACCATTCTAGATTCAATTCTCAAGCTCTCCGATTCTATTCACAAGTTCAACAGGAGGATCCATGGAGATCCACCCTTCTAGAAGCATTTTTCCTTCTGTACAACCCAGATATCATCATGACAACTGCAGACTCACTTCAGACATTGCTCAGCTCGCGGGTCTTGACACCAGAAGACGTCTACACTATTCAAATCGATGAGGCTAGTCAAGTTCCAGAATACACCTTCATCAGTCTCCTCACCCAATTTCCAAAGGCCACCTTTGGCTTGATCGGAGATATTCAACAGCTGCCACCGTACTGCGAGACAGGTCTTGATGGGAAATTGAAGGATTACGGTATCGGTAACACTATGGAGAGATGTGTTGAGGAGGAGCTGTTCCCACAAGCTATGCTTCGAGAAGTGTATCGCTGCCATCCGAAGATTACAGGATTGCTCAGCGATCTTTTCTATAAAGGAAAGCTGATCTCTGGAGTCACTGAAGCTATGAGAAACACATTTATGGAGAATAGAACTGATTTTTGGCCTAGCTCCAACTATCCGGTACTTCTTATCAACAACAACGAATCGGGATACAAAATGGGAACTTCATGTGGGAACACATCGGAAAAGTTGATCGTCCAGAAGCTTCTAGATCTCCTTTGCAAGCCTAACAATGGCTATAAGCTCGAGCCAACTCAAATTGGAGTTATATCCTTCTACAGCGCTCAGACATCAGTACTCACTGAGGCGCTACGCGGACGGCAAGTCAAATGTGGTACGGTAGACGCGTTCCAGGGCACCGAGCGGGATGTAATTGTGCTCTGTTGCACTAATGAGAAGATTAGTGAGTTTATGCAAATGAGCAATCGAATCAATGTGGCAATGTCGAGAGCCAAGCAAGTGACGATTATTGTTGGGAATTTGAATGGGTTGAAAAAGGCGAATTATTGGAGAGAGATTGTGAAGAAGGCGCAGGAGAATAGATGTGTCATAGAGGCGGTGAGTTTTATCATTGATTATCTTGGTTTTAAGCTGAGATGGCAAAAAGTAAAAATTCACAATTTTTTTCTAGCTGTTCTAAAAATTGAGATATAGACGTTTAAAATAGTTACATATATAGTTTTTAGGGATGTCGTCGTTTTGAAGCTAATTATCTCAATTGCCAATTAAGATATCAAAAAGTTGTCAATTTGTAAAATATTTAACATAAAATTCTATACATTTAATTAGTTAACAACTTTAAGATATCTTAATTAGCAGCTGAAATAATTATGGTCGAAGTTAATGAGCGTTGTGATCTTGGCCGCCCACCACCCCGCCCACTTTGAAGCTGATTATTTTGATTTGCAAGAAAGATATCATCAAGTTCTTGACTAATAAAATGTTAAGCGTAAAATTTCATGTATTTTTTAGTTGACAACTTTTTGATATTTAATTGACAACCGAGATAATTAGCGTTTAATTAAAACCCTTGTTCAGGGTTGCCAGCCAAGACTGAGAATATTTAATAACTACAAATTTGGTAAAACCGAATTGTACATAATTTATTAACTTACCAGTTTTGACATCTTAATTAACAACCGAGATAATTAGGGTTTAATTGACACAGCCTTGCTTGAGACGACCGCTAAACTTTGACCCGGTTTATCTCACTTCCGAGTGAAGATAGAAAATTTCAGTTAACTGGTAAAATGTGTAAAATTTCATTTTACACATTTCAGTAGTTTACAACTTTTTGATATCTTAATCAATAATTGAGATAATTAGGATTTAGTTGACGCCGCTGTTCAGGGCGCGTTGTCCTCATGATGACGACCACTAAACTTTGACCATAATTATTCCAGTTCCTAGTTTAGATAGAAAATATTTGTCAACTACAAAAATGTGTAAAATTCAATTTTACACAGTTTCTTTGTCAACAACTCTTTAATATCTCTATCAGCAACCGAATTAATTAGAGGTAATTAACTAAAACCATGGTTTTACAGAGATCCATCTTGAACACCAGCGGACCACCAGCCGGAAGAAGACAAAGAAACCGCAGGAATAATAAGGAAAATTTTGCTCAGAAAAAAGTTAATTTCAATGAAAATGTGCAAAAGAGGACTAATGAAACGGTAAATTCTTCTTTTAATTTGAAGAAAAATTCGAAAAAAAAATTGTTTTCTAATTTTTTTTTTCAATTTCCCGCCTAATGTTGCAATTTCAGAGACCTACCGTACTACCTGAACCTCCAAAACCAGCAGTTCCTAAAAATGATCTGACCGATTTGTTGAACGAAATGAATTTATTGAAACTTGCGGTAAGATTTAGAATTTTTTATTTTTAAAAAATTTCCCCCATTTTGACCTTTTTTGCATGATTTTTCTCATTTTTTTCAGATCCTAATCCCTGTTGTGATCGTTCTCTGGATAATTTCAGAAAACTGAAATTTTCAGATTGAAAACTACAAAATGCAAGAGCAACTACAACAACAACAACATTCCTAAATTATTTTCTTTTTATTTATTTATTTATTTTCTAGTTCTTGCTTTAAAAAAAATGAAAAAAATGACTCACTTCTACTTTTTTTAAACACTCCCTTCTTTTTTCCCCCCTCTCTTCTCTCTGCCGCGCCTCTCTCTTCCTCCCCTTCTTATCTGTCCTCTACCCCCCGTCTCCCATGGGCCTCCTTAGCTCAGTTGGTAGAGCGTGAGACTTTTAATCTTAAGGTCAGGGGTTCGAGTCCCCTAGGTGGCTTGATGTTTTGTTTTGTTTTGATTCAAAGGGAAAATGTTTTTTGGGTGATTTCAGAGGTTTTGGGAATGCTTTTTTTTTTTTGGTTTTGGTCTATATAATTTTGAAGAAATCGGTTTTAGGTCGACGAATATTAGTATTTTTGAAGACAACACATTAGTAAACAGAAAAAAGAAAAGAAAGGAAAAATTCAAATCCAGATAGTTTCTGCTAAATCTGACGATCTGATTCCTAAAAACTCAATATGCTAGAAGTTCTAAAAATGTACTATTAGGTTGGCGGGAAAGTCTTTGTCACTTTTTCAATAGTTTATTTCTCAAAGAAAAAATAACCGAATAATTAATTATATTGTCCATCATTATCAACAACATGTCTCCAACGTTCCCTCAATTTATGGATTCCATTGCGGTAGAATCCAGCCGGGCGTGAGGCAAAGTATTGTTTGAGTGCCGCTTCGACCGCTCCACGGGAATTGAAGCTTCTTCCTTCGAAGGCACGTGTCATATCGCCAAATAACCAATAGTCGGAAGGAGCAAGATCAGGAGAATACGGGGGGTGAGGGAGAACATTCCATCCATATCCCATCAGCTCCTGCTTCACTTGTTTCGAAACATGTGGGCGAGCGTTATCATGTTGATAGTACACTTTCTTGTCTTTCAGGGCCGAACGGTCGACTGCTTTCTTGAGGTTTCGTAGTTGAGTAGTGTAGAGGTCTCCAGTTATTGTTTTGCCCTCGGGCAGAAGTTCCCAGTAGATGGGGCCGTCCACTCCCCACCACACAGAGAGCATAACTTTTTTCGGATGAAGGTCGGGTTTGGGGACATCCTGTGGGCTCTCTCCTTCTCCAACCCACTGGGATTTCCTGTGGTGATTATCGTAGAAGACCCACTTCTCATCTCCGGTTATTAGCCGGTCCAGCCATCGATCGCCCGCGTGGAGAGTGAGAAGAGTAATCGAATCGTCGACTCGGCGGTCAAGGTTGGCTTGAGTCAGGTGATGAGGTATGAATCGACCAAAAAGTTTTCTCATTCCAAGAGACTTCAAACCTTCAAGGACTGTGCTATGGTGAACTCCGAATGTGACAGCTAGTTCACGGCTAGATTGAAATGGATCCGATTGCAATGCGTGCTTCAGCTTGTCCAAATCCAACTCACGGGGTCTCCCAGAGCGATCCTTTTCATCGAGCGAGAAGTCATCTTTTTCGAAACGATGGAACCAATTGCGAATAGTATTGTAGTGAGGGGCATGTGTGTTGTACACATTCTTCAAGAAAGTTTCCGAATCCTTCATCGTGGTGTGAGATAGGAAGAGGTAAATCAAAACATGTCTGATGTGAATAGCAGTGGGAACAAACATATCGTTTCAATTACAGATGAGGAGCAGGGAAGGAGATGGGGACTTGTTTATATGGAAGGTTCTTATCACCTTGTTATTCACTAGAGTCGATATCATACACAGCCTCCATATACGAGAACAGTGATTAAACAAACAGAGTGACAAAGACTTTCCCGCCAACCTAATACATTTTTAAAACCCTATTTTAACAAGTAGTTCCTGTATTTCTCCTAACAAATTATATATCAAAATGATCTCCTTGAAATTTGCTATTCAACCATATAATTTTCAAATAGTTTGGTTTCTAGAACTCGCGCTATGGGTCTTTAAACATTTCGTCACTTTCCCCCCAACACACAACTGGCCTCCTCCATTTTCCCTCCTCCCCTCTCGCCTCTCTCCCGCCGCCCTCTCTCTTCTCCCCCTTCTTATACGCCCTCCTGTCCTCTTCTCAATGTGCGGGGGTATAGCTCAGTGGTAGAGCGCTCCCTTAGCATGGGAGAGGGCTGGGGTTCAATTCCCCATACCTCCAGAACCTTTTTGCTTTATACGACAGTCATTTATTAGGTGCTAGAAGACACTCTATATGAATGTCTTCTCATAATACTGTCAATTATGGATACAGATGAGTTGGAATTCGAGTTTTGGCCTCTTAATGCTTCTGGTTTTTGAACAGTGCAAGTGAGAAGATACAATATTGCAATGCATACTCGTCGATAAGGGCTGATAATCAAGCAATAGGTGAAAGAAAGGCTCAATCCCAAAAAGTGGGCGGGGCTGATATTGAGAAGGAATGTCATAGGACCACTGAAAATAGGTTGAAATTGAAAAAAACCCGCATTCCTTCAAATGAACCAATAACTTTGAGCTCAATTATCTCGGCTCCTATAAAAGATTTCAAAAATCTGTCAACAGATAAACTGTTGGTGATTTTTTTTTGAGCTTGTTAATCTCGTTTTCTGTGTCAGATATTAAAAATTGGTCAACTGATAAATGATTGGGAATATTATGATAAACATTTTATGACTTTACGGATTTTCAATATCTTTCGCAGGAACCGAGATAATTGAGCTCAAAGTTGACGGTTTGGGTGGACTTCTATTAAAATTCCAGAAAACTTACAAAAATGGCATTAAATCATGTATTGCCAAGATAAAAGCGGCCAGAGGGAAAGAGAAATATAATAAGAAATGTGCCACGTAGGAGAGCAACATGTACATCATCATTCGATGATTTTTGGCTGTAGCTGGAGACATATTCGGCTTTTGGCGGTTGAAATGTTTTAGGGATCTGGAAAACTTACTTTCAGAAAGTTTAGAAATTTTTGGAAAGAAATTGGGCAACGAATTTCAGAGAATTTCAAAAAAAGTCAAATTCCCGCCAAACCACCAATTCAAAAAAAAGGAACTCACAAAACTGTCAAAACCAAACAAAAAACCACTGAAACCAATGATAAAATAAGGGCTTCAATAGAAGCCAATTTGACTGGAATACTGTAGATATCAAATACAAAAACTGCATATTTCTCGAACATTTCCGATAATCGTGGATCGATTTTTTCCAGAATTTCCTGTTGCATCGCTGGCTGACTTTTTGAAACCTGTGCCACTAACAAACAATTTCCAGATATCAAAAGTACAGTAATCAGGAAAATTAGACATTTCAAAAATCTCTCAACAGACATATGGAACCAAACGGATGACATTTGTTTGAGAGACATAAAATTATAAATTAGGCCGAAGGATAATAACAGCATTGTTGGAAAAAAGTACAGTAGGACGACCAAGGAGGAGAGGTATACTGTAATTTTCGTGGATTACTGTAGTTCTGAGGTTCAGAACTTCAGAAATTCGGAAATTCTGAAATTCAGAAATTCTGAAATTCTGAAATTCAGAAATTCTGAAATTCTGAACCTCTGAAATTTTGAGATTCTGAAATTCCAAAATTTTGAAATTCTGAAATTCTGAAATTCTGAAATTCTGAAATTCTAAAATTCTGAAATTCTGAAATTCTGAAATTCTGAAATTCTGAAATTCTGAAATTCTGAAATTCTAAAATTCTACCAAAAACTCACACGTCACTCGAGAATCCATTGCAAATGGTCCCGAAAGAAAAATCATGGGATACGGTAGTAGAAAACTTGGTGATATCAAACTGATAAGAAAACAGCCACAAAATGCAAGGATCAATTGAGCCAGAAGAAGGTTACGGTACCTGAAAATGGGATTACTGTAGTTTTGAATTTCCGAATTTTAGAATCTCATAATCTCAGAATCTCAGAATCTCAGAATCTCAGGATTTCAGAATTTCAGAATCTCAGAATTTCAGAATTTCAGAATTTCAGAATCTCAGAATCTCAGAATCTCAGGATCTCAGAATTTCAGAATTTCAGAATCTTAGAATCTCAGGATCTCAGAGTCTCAAAATCTCAGAATTTCAGAATTACAGAATTTCAGAATCTCAGAATCTCAGAATCTCAGGATCTCAGAATCTCAGAATCACGGAATCTCAGAATCACGGAATTTTACAATTTCTGAATCTCAGAAACTCAGAATTTCAGGGGAAATTTCAAAATTTTGAATTTTTGATTTTTTTAAATTTCAAAACTTAAAAATTTCTCAGATTACTGTACTTACTCAATTTTCAGCCTTCCACTTGCGTTCCATACAATAATTAGTGTGATAAAAGTTGAAAAACAGGAAAAAAATGAAGCAAATTTAAAAAATTGTTTCAAATTGTGCATTTTCTTTAAACTCGGCTCAAAATCCTCATATAAATCTTGAAATACAGTAGGAAATGTTAGATTTTCATTTTCAGAAAACATGGTTTTTTTTTTGAAATTCTGAAAAAATATAGCTAAAAGACAGGTAATTTTCTTCCGGGATTCACAAGAAAAAGTAAAAAAAAAGAGCGGAAAAAATTTTTCAGGACAGGTGAATCTCAGAAAAATGAAGAATGAGAATTCGTCATTTTTCGGAAGGGTCTCCGTGATTTTTTTTTGTTTCTTGGAAAAAAAAAGGAAGAAGAGGGTGGAATAAAAAATTTCTAGTGTTAGTGGGGGTAGGAAATTCTAAAAATAGAAACATCAGGTTTGAATTTTTTGGCACAAAACCCAAATATTTTGGTTTTGGAATAATAATAGTATTTTTGAAAAAAAGGTACATTAGGCGAATAAGTGACCATAGGTGTACTGTAATTTTGGGGGTGGTAGGAATTTTCGAAAATCGAATTTATGAATCTTGGAATTCAATGTTTCGAACCTGACTATCCTGAAAATTCTAGAATCAGAAATTCAGAAATTCAGAAATTCAGAAATTCAGAAATTCAGAAATTCAGAAATTCAGAAATTCAGAAATTCAGAAATTCAGAAATTCAGAAATTCAGAAATTCAGAAATTCAGAAATTCAGAAATTCAGAAATTCAGAAATTCAGAAATTCAGAAATTCAGAAATTCAGAAATTCAGAAATTCAGAAATTCAGAAATTCAGAAATTCAGAAATTCAGAAATTCAGAAATTCAGAAATTCAGAAATTCAGAAATTCTGAACCTCTGAAATTTTGAGATTCTGAAATTTTGAGATTTTGAAATTTCGAGACTCTGAAATTCCAAAATTTTGAAATTCGGAGTTTCCGAAATTCTGAAATTCCAAGAATCTGAAATTGTTCTGAATCCCAAAAAGTCCAAAATCCAAAGTTCCAAAATTTCAAAAACTCGGAATTTTAAAAAAAATTCGGAAGCTAAATGAAATGAAAATTCGGAAGTTCAGAATTTTTAAATTTTTTTAAAACAGATTTCAAGATTCTCAGAATTTCAAAACCTCATACTTTTCAAAGCAGAAAAAAAAGAGTCCAAAATTACAACTTCACAGAATGTTTCACGTTTTTTGTAATCAGAGGATTCAACAGTTCTAAGAAGTGTTTTAAAAAGGTTTGCTTCAGATCCTCTGAATGTTCTGAAACTCCACATTTTCTAGAATTTTAAGATTTCCAACTTTCAGAAATACCTGATTTTATAAATTTATTAAAAATTCCAAACTTCTGGAAATTTCATGAGATTTCAGAATGTGCCTTTAAAACTTCCTGATTTTTAAATTTCTGAGTTCCCAGAAATTCCAGACTTCCTCATTTTTTCAGACAATTCTTTTTTCAACAAGTCACATTTTCATTTCTATGAAAAAAATGTTTGATCTTAATTTTCTGAATAATTCTCTTATTTTTTTTCACCTGTATCGGCGCAAATTTGTTTAAAGGTGGGGGGACAGAAGATTTTTCGTAGTTTTTTTATAGCTAGAGTATGCATTCTACCGTGACGGTGTACAACGCTTAATGTCACTCTGCGTACAGCTGTCGTCCTCGCCTTTATGTATGCAATCGGGCGTCCGCTTTCTCTTTGCACGCGTAGCTCAGTCGGTAGCGGCGCCGCACCCTCAATCATCGCCCTCACAAGTTCAACTCCTCGAGGGGCGTATGTAAACGGAATTTCGAGAAAAAATTTTTTTTCATGTCCCCCCACCTTTCAAGGTGGGGGGACAGGAGATTTTTCGTAGTTTTTTTATAGCTAGAGTATGCATTCTATCGCCACGGTGTACAACGCTTAATGTCACTCTGCGTACAGCTGTCGTCCTCGCCTTTATGTATGCAATCGGGCAGGCGCTTTCTCTTTGCCCGCGTGGCTCAGTCGGTAGCGGCGCCGCACCCTCAATCATCGCCCTCACAAGTTCAACTCCTCGAGGGGCATCTTTGAACGGAATTTCGAGAACATTATTTTTTTCATGTCCCCCCCACCTTT